GTATTTTTGAAAAACGCATTGCCAACCATGGGAAAGGATGTATAACATAAACTCATGAATTTCAGACTCTGGCCGAGATACGTAAATGCCATGGCGCTGTTGCTTGTTACCTTCGTATGCGACAAATCGAGATACGTGAGATTATTTAGATTCTTGAAAGTGTCTTTATGTATTTGAACACCATAAACGAGCTGCCACACAGCATTGAGTGTGGGATGTGTTGTCCTATAGTCGATTTCCAATAAATTAGTGAAGGATAAATCAAGATACTCTAGATGGGGTAGCAGTTGAAAGGTGTCAGATGGAATGTCGAGCATTTTATTGTGCGGCATGAAAAGCTTGCGGAGCCCGGTGATGTTCTGGAATACTTCACGTGCAATGAACTCTATGTTGCAGTTGCCGATGTCCAATTCAAGCAAGTAAGGCATCTGCGGAAAGGTAGCCCAAGAAATACCTTCGTCTGTTTGCCCGAATGTGGGAGAAAGACAAAGAAGAAAAATACAGTATTGCTTAAGTTAACGATAGATGAGTTTCTTGTTTAAAAGTGTGTTCGAGTATTAAAAATGTGTGTTGTTCTAATGAATGTAAACTACTGAAGGAAGATGACTTAAAATGAGACCACGTTATGGGACCCACTTTCTCAGTCAGGCTTTAAAGCTCAGTTTCAGTTTTCCCAAAACTGATCATCTTTCTCCACAAGAACTCACAAGGACCGGGTTAGTATCAAAGTCTGACAGTATTACCCGAATAAGAAGACATGTGAAGCGTTTTCCTTTGCTGAGCCTAGGATTAGGGGTATTTTGGATGTCACCTTCTCACGTCGGAAGTGATAAAGACATCAACTGGAAAAGGATTGATTTTAAAGTACGTGGGGCCGACCGCCTACAATTTCCCTGAACGGATTGATAAGAGCTGGAATTAATATGCCATATACTTCGACAGAGACTCGGTGAACCTACTAAACTATCTTGGTACGTTAATGAGTTTTGATTTGTTGTTTGGCTGTCATATTCATATTTACTAGCGGTATTGCGGATCATCGATAGTAGGAAAATGGCAAGAGAATGCTATAGAAGTCCGTACTGCTCCCAAACATATATTCCAGCCACTGAGTGGACCCTTTATCGAAAATGTATAAGAAATTGAGACAGTCGTAAAAATTTAGGCAGACACCAATATGGATTATGCTGCGATAAGACTTAGGAGTTCTGTGTGCTTGGCTGAAAATTTATTTATTTATTCAACTTCATCCCTGATAGCACAGATTGCTGTTGAGTCCAAGCAGTTTCTTCTCCACTCACCTCCAGACAAAGGATGAGTAGGCTGTCGGCCAGTATTTCAAGCTGTTCGCGCTCACGTACTTCGGCGTCTCTGCTCTTCAGCGATGGTATGTAATGAGCGGGAAATGTAGTTACACTGCTCGCATATGTCGGTTTGTTGAAGAGTGTTCTATGAGAGCAGCTGTGAGAGTCGAGTGGCGAATACATTGGCTGCCTGTTGTGACTGCAGCATTTCGACGTTGAGTTTTCCTTGCATTGTTGGACGCACATTTTTTTGCTGCACAGATGCGGTCGCGTATTTTAGCTGCAACAATAAAGTGCTCCGAGTCGATATTTGACCCTTATGTCTATTGCATACTACCATGTTTCGGGACCGGCGAAGTCGATCAGCCTCAGTCCGTTATAGGACGTTTAGGCGTGAAGGCTCAAGTTTCCGATATTGGCGACAAAGATGTCTTCCTTGCCCAACTTGACATTGAAATATCCAAACACGATTTTGATTTCCGTATCTTTGTTTTTCTTTTTCACTGGAAGTGATGTTTACGTGGCGTGGAGACGCCAGCCTGCAGCCACACCTACTGGTAATCAGACGCCTGCAGACTAAAGAGAGCTCTTAAACCGAATAAGTCGGAGTGGCACAGCGAAGCTCCCTCTCTATCTGAAGTGACCAAAGGCTCCACTCGGATTGGTTACAGCACGAACGACGAGGAAGAATCGGGTTTGAGTATAGTCCTGTGATTGCATACTCAGTTCAACGACTATGCCCAATGCCCGATAATTTATAGTCATTGATAATTCTACCTCTTCGATAATCAAGCTAGTGAGTATGGAATCGAAAGGAAGTGGAATTAGTTTTTAATTATTAAATTCCCTTAATATAAATAATAATCGGCCGCTGTGGTGTAGTGGTAAGCCACGTGCCGTTACATTTTCTATACATAACTATTATACGTAGTGTGTACATTCATACATACATATGTGTATATAACACTGTACAGCAAAATCAACTTTTTTTCTGGGTATTAGACCAAACCATTTTTTTTAAGAGATTGAGTCATAGGTAATAAAGCAATTTCTCCATCTTTCGAAGTTAGCCTCCGAAATCGAGATATGGGCCTTCGAAGTTCGAAATAGGACCTTTGGTAAAAAATTATATTTAATTATTGCATGTACATAAATAAAAACCTAAAAATACAGACGTGGTCCTCTTTTTGCTCTTATTTAAATGGTGTATAACTTTTTTTGTGCAAACTTATATTACAGGTGCTATAAGGGGTCAAAGTTCATGTCTTCAAAAAATTAAATTCCTTATATTGCAAACAACAGAACAGAGTTTTAAGCAAGTGACATCGTTGTAAATGTGATTAACCCCCCCTTTCTTCTGATATGCATATTTGTATACTTCGAATATAAAAATTTTAGAAAAAACACAATTTAAATGAAAAAATACCTTTTTTTATAATAAAAAATATCTTTAACATTATTAATTAATTAAACAAAAAAATTACTAACCGATTTTTAGAATCAAAATATTTTTTTTTATAAAAAAAATGTATTTTTCCTTTAAATGTGTTTTTTTTTTTAATTTTTATACACGAAGTATACAAATATGCATATCAGAAGAAAGGGGTTTTAACCATCTTTACAACGATACCAACTTTTTAAAAATCGGTGTTCATATCAAAAGAAAGCGGGTTAAATCACGTTTACAAAGATATGAATCTTTTAAAAATCAGTTCAAAATTTTCTGAAATATTAAGTTTTTAATTTTTCGAAGATCTAACCTTTGACCCGTTATAGCACCTGTAATATAAGTATTCACAAAAAAAGTTATATCCCATATAAATAAGAGCAAAAGGCGGACCACGTCTGTATTTTTACTTTCTTTGATTTTTACATGCAATAATTAACAATAATTTTTTACCAAAGGTCCAATTTCGAACTTCGAAGGCCCACATCTCGATTTCGGAGGCTAACTTCGAAAAACGGAGAAATCGCTTTTTTTTTAGTTATGACTCAATCTCTTAAAAAAGGTTGGTTTGGTCCAATACCCAGCCGAGTGATGTACAGTGTAATTAATACACACAAAACCAAGAAATCATTTCTCTCTTTGTTTAAATTTATATCAATCATTTAGGGATTATTCTAACTAGACAGAATGCGAAAACCAACCAGACCATGTGTAAATATAAAACTTCCTATAATGACACCCATGTGTATGTAGTATGTAGTTACATTTGATGATAAGCTAACTGGTGATAGCGATTGGTTAAAAACAAACTATATTCTTTCAGAGCTGGGGAACTTTAATTAATTTTATGTTTATTTCATCAGAATTTTATTTATTTAGTTATTTATTTATGTTTATATTAGACTTGAAAAAAATCCTCTTAACTTATAAATATCTACTTATAAAGAAGGATAAAGGATATAGCATTTTCAGTTTAAATTAAACCATTTTCAAATTAAGGGAACCCTTTTTAAAATTAAATGAAACCTTTTTCAGGTTAAGCGAAACCATTTTCAAATTAAATGAAACCTTTTTCAGATAAGGCGAAACCTTTTTCAAATTAAATGAAACCTTTTTCAGATTCAATGAAACATTATTCAAATTAAATGCAACTTTTTTTAAATTGAATGAAACATTCTTAAAAGGAAGTTTCATTTAATTTGAATAAAGTTTCATTGAATCTAAAAAAGGTTTCATTTAATATGAAAAAGGTTTCGCTTTATCTGAAAAAGGTTTCATTTAATTTGAAAATGGTTTCGCTTGACATGAAAAAGGTTTCATTTAATTTGAAAATGGTTTCGCTTGACATGAAAAAGGTTTCATTAATTTGAAAAAAGCTTAATTTAAACTGAACATGCTATATATCGTTAGCTAAGAGTGAAAACTTTCTAATGGTGATTTCGTTTCTACCAAAAAATGTCGCCTTTTGATTGCCCCTTTCTCTTTTTGTGTTCGATTTTTAATTAAAGGCAAAGGGTAAGAAGATTTTGTGTTCGTTCCTTAAAATATCACACTCTTGTGAAGCAAAAACGGCACATTCTCTGCCCTGTGAAGCTTTGTCAGGGGAGATGGTTGCCCTGAAAATTAGATGGTTTTTAAAACGACAGTATTATGAAATGCGTGAGCTAGACAAGGGCAAGAAGGCAAAAACATGACTTTTTACAGGGTTGAGTGTAAGTAACATCAAACATATTTTGTACCGGGCAAGGGCAAATTTTATAGAAGAGATTTTCTGAGCTTTTTTTGGAGTTGGCAAATTTTCGGTTCCCTGAAACGTTTACATTTTCATTTCATCGTTTCCACAGCAACTCAGTTGAACATTTTGCGATTGACTAATATAGGAATACATACATACATATGTATGTATGTAAATTCGAGGGTATTGAAGGACGTATATATGACCCTAGATAGAAGCTATCAGGGCACTTGTGAACCTTCCCAAGCATCTTCCAAGCGGAAGTCTATGTCATTTGCCACTGCGCAGAGATTAACCTTTGTAGGAATTATCGAAGTGAGTGGATCCTTATATTAAAACATAGTCACTCATTGCTCTCTCAACCTTCGAGGTCAAATACACATTTCTCCTCGAGTGTATTGAAAGTCTTAGTGCGCTGGCTGAGGACAATGCTATCCAACTGATATGGGTACCAGGGTACAGGTTACTCATAAACCTACTCTAGGTCAGGCCACTTGCACAAAGAAATCTAAGTTGCTTTTGTCGCTCCGCCAAAAAGACCACATTGCACTTTCCCTTAGAGTGTGAGACCATTTCACGGGGAAGAGAGAGGTGCATAGGACATTTATGGCCAATACATACACTCCCTACCCCCGGAATTTCTTCTGAAATGTATAAGGGGTATTCTCGCAGTCTTGCAAAGCCCTTGCACCGTGCAAGTGCTTTGCAAGACTCCGAGAATACTCCTATTTTTTTATGAAATATTTGTTGCGAAAACATTGATAGCTTGTTTGGAATTTTTATATGCAATTTTTGGGTCAAGACAATACGTATCTACTAGGTACCGATAGTGGCAAAACTCGAAAAAAAAGTTTTTATTGAATAAATAAAAATATAAATACTCATACATAAATGTTACGTTTCGCAGGTAATAAACTGAGGGTATCGCTGGTTATAAGTACATAAATATACAGGTGTATATACATATGCAGGCGTG